GGTTTTGTGCGGTGAAAGAGGATCTTAATGTTTTTTATGGATTCTGAAGGGCAGCTTGTTCTTATCCATTTATCTACCTATCTATCTATCTGAGCGTAACATTCTTTGTTAACAAGGAACCATAGCACTAACAAGGTAACTGACAATGTCAAGTCATGGAACGGTGATAGTCAATACCTAAAAACTGTAAGTTTTCAGTTAAGTCTTGCTTTATGTTCTTTTCCGCTGTCAAAAACTATCGGCACTGATGGCAGTGCTGATAGTTTTTTGGTGCAACAATCATTTGGTGAGTGGAGTTCTGTAGTGTCAGGAGAGTTTATGTAACTGTACGTTTTTAGTGTGTTATAGTTTTTATTTCATATTTGATGATGATGATGATGATGAAAGAAATTTCAGTTCTCTGAGTGCCCCTAAGTGTCCACATAATTATCAGCTCAATTAATCTGGTTGAAGGTCAGGCTGTCAATTTCACTTTTGATTTCAGTTTCAAGACTCCAACATGCCGTGGTGATTGAATCTTCATTAACACAGACAGCACAGCGCAGCTTGACGCTACTCAGTGTTATTATTGCATTACGATTCTGCAGAAGCGGTAAAGAATTTGGTTGATCAAACTGCATAAACCTCAATGTGAAATGAGAAGTAGGTGACAGAGGATGCAAGATCTATGTTTTCTGACATGTTTTTTGTCAAAACCACTATAGACTTTTTCTTCAGCTGTTAGAGGTACAGCGATGGATCGGACCACACACGCCTGCCTTTGTTCCTCTTCATTATTAAACAGAAAACTTAGCATTTCAAAATTGTTTCTCAAACAACACAACTCTGAGTCACAGAGCAAATAAAACTTGTTTTACAGGCAGGTCCTATAACAGAACAACAAATGTTTTGCTTTACAACAATATTGAGATAAAAATTTTTTTTCACCTTTCAACGATAAGACGCTAGAAAACGTAACTGGAGTTTTTCTAGTTGTATGGAGCCCAGAGTAAAACCTCGCTGCCCCTCCCCCACATGTTGCTGTGCGTCAGGTGACTGCTTTCAATAAATTCGGGTGCTTTTAAATATTTCTTTCTTATATGAAAAACACAGAGGAAGGCCGTAAACTCACCAAGCAGAATCCAACACTTTTGTTGAGGTAACACAATTTTAAATCTGCAAACAGCCAGTCAGTCCAGCAGCCAGCTTCAGGCTGTCAACTTGAATAAATAGAGTGACTAATTAAGCAGCTAATATCAGCTTGATACTTTCAGTGTTACTCAATAGAAAGCAAATTAGTTATTTGAAAACTCCTCCAAATTTAATCTGTGTTTATTCCACAGATTCTGTCTAGTTGTAAAGAATGGACCAAAAAATATTTAATAAATGTTGAGACAACAATATTACAGCTGTTTTAATGGATATGTTATTTCGGCAGCAGCAGGAAAATTAGTTGTTCTGCTTTGAATGAGCAAAATTAAGATCACACTAAACACTTTTGTTCTACATTTGTGTTATCATAATAAAACAGTGAGCTCTTTCTAGAGCGGTACGTCAAAACTTCATTTCGACACATGCCTGTTTGGTTTACATTGGACGCAGCTTCCATCTGTAAACATTTTACGACAACAAAACTAATTCCGTTTTGTTTGCATATTTAATTTCCTTTGTTTCCTCACAAACACATGCTCTCTCTTAAAGAGATCATCACACTTTCATCAGCAAACTCCAAAAGCTTCGCGACGGCTTGAAACCGTCAGCGCTGTTGCACTTCGGATGTGCATCATTCCGCTCCCTCGATCAGGCAGCTTGTTGATTCACTGCAAACGCTAAAACCCGTCTGTGAGCCGTCTACAGTCTATAGATCAGAATGTGACAAAGTTGCCATTTTCTGTGGCCCAAGGTGACAATTGTTAGTAATGTGAAGCCGCAGGTGGTTTGAACTGAAGCTCCGACATACAAGAAGGAAGAAAGAAAGAAAAGGGCTGCTACACACAGGACGTCGACACCTGGCAAGATTATTGAGGTTTTTCTTTTGATTATTATTTTTTATTTAAATATTTATCCTTTAAAGCAAAAAAGATATTAAATCTTTACTTATGAGCTTAACTGAGGCTAAAGTGAGTTCTCACCTTTAGATAAGCATAAACTGCTGCCGCTATTGAAAATTGTAAAAACAGAGAAACCCTTTGTTCGGTAAAACAACAATATCCCTGTACATCACTTTTGTGTGAATTTCTGTGCCTCTGAGGCATTTACATGCAAAATATAACCCTGCTCTCTGCAAAAAAAAATAAAAAAATATATTAATTTGTTTATTATATAAAACAAAGAAAGGATTTGAGTACAAGCTGTAATGTAATGCAAGTTTAAATCCTTTTCCCTCTTGGGAGTATGCAAAATTGATAGAGGCACTTTGTGCGAGAAATGGATGGAAATGAAACGTTAGGAGGATTTAAGAAAAACAAAAAGAATTGACCTCTTCTCTGAGTCCTTGTTAAAGAGGGCCAGTAACCTTGCAGCTCCTTCATCCCACGCTACTGGAGCCTTGGCAAGCCCAGAAAGGCAAGCTGGCACCACAGTCGTAACCAGCAACCAACCAAACACCAGTGCTCAACCAGCCATTTAGCCAAATGGTGATGCATGCCAAGAGTACACTCGCTGCTGTATGTGAGGCCACTCCATCTTTCTAGAGCACTTGGGAAATATCCAGAGGGTTCAGAGACAAATCAAAGCATAAGGATGAGGAGATAAAAGCAGAGAAAAACCGCCTGGAGGAGAATTTCTACTTCTCAGTGATGTATGTAATCAACAACAGGATTTTGGTTCTGGAGTCTGAACCAAACTGGAGTCGAAAAGGTTGAGTCAAGAGGAAAGAGAAAATGTATCCAAGGCTTTGGGGAAAAAAATGACTACCCATGCTTTAATGGCTTGTAAACTCATCTTGATCAGCAATAACTCTTGGCAACTGTCTTTGTGTGACCTAATCACTCTCTCAAATCATTATATCAAGACTTTGGCCCAACCTTCTTGATACAGCAGTGCTCCAGGTCATTGGGGTTTTTCAACAACCCTCCAAAATCATTAAAACAAGCCCAAATCTGGACTTTGACATTAGTCAGATAGATGGACTACTTGACAGTAGAATAATTTGGCTACAGACAGGTTTATAGTTTGCTCAATGACAGAAAAAGTTCAAATCAAATCAACCCCTCCACTACAGTAGTTGATCATTTGAATGAAGTGATACCCTGAATGATTTTTATTCAACACGATGTGTTGCAAAACATCACTTCTTTGGTCTTACAAGAACATCACTCAGGACGTTTTGTTGCACGTTCACGTGCAACTAATTTGTAATTTCAATTGATTTTTGAATGAGCCATACTTCTTTCTTTTTTTATTGTCTGAACTTTAACATTGAACTGTTAACTAAAACCCTGTGGAATTAGAGATGGGAGGCATCAGGCCAATAACATTTTCTCTGACAATGGAGTGAAGTTGCAGGTACGTCCACAGACTGGCAAAGCTGGCAAACAGCTGCTGGGCTCAAGAAGAGCCCAGCAGATGTTACGGTCAGACAACCATCGGCCCGTCAGTTCCCGAAAGCACAAAACCCCCCCAAAACATCTAGTAAGAGGTTAGGTGGCAGTGCAACCCCTCCAGGACAACCCACGGGGTAGAGAGCTTATGCGGGTTCAGACGGCCGCAGAACTGCTAGGAGGTGAAATGTTCTCCACCTATGACTGACTAACCTGTATGCTCAAGTTCTGCTTGTATGGTAGCAGAAGTGCATACTGTAGGGTCCCTGCTTTGACAGAGGCGGTAACCATCCATAAAAATTAATCCAAGTGCATTTGATTGGGAGCAAAGGCAAAGAAGCAAGGGTACTCCTATTTTTTCCTATGAGTGCACAGCTAAAATGTCAAAAATATACACAACCAAACACCCGACTCATTGAGGCATGCCATCACTATTTAATGCAAATGGTCTCCCAGCATCAAACGAATTCCATTTATTCATGCGATGTTTCACACTTCTTGGTAAATGACAAATGCACAGGAGATCACAAAATGCGTTGCCTAAATAGGATGAGAAGGATTTAACTCCAAGCTATGTGATCTCCAATCATCTTTTATTTCCCCACATTTAATATTATCACACCATCTGCAAGACGAAACCAAGTCTCCTCTGGGCAGGTATCTATTTACATTTCATAAATCTGTGTGTCTCTAATCTTTCCCCCCAATTCTACGAGGCCGAGATGAGAGTTAACTTTCCATGAATCGTTTCCCCATGCATGAGGATGCCAAAGCTGAGGGGTTTCCTGAGCACTTCTTTCTGTAGATGGCCTCTGAGCTTAAACCTTGCCCAAAACACTTAGGACCTTTATTACAGGCACTTAACCACAGGGCCCATCAGTGTTTGCAATGCGCTCTAAGTCACAGATAATGGGCCAATGTGCAGGCAAGCACACACACACACACACACCCCCACACGCACACACACACACACACAAATGTTGTGATATCGTTACGGTATCATCATCTCAGTCAGAAGCGTAAACTACCAGAATGTTTGACACAGAGTGGGGATTACTCTACGGATCAAAGGGTTTTCCTGTCTACACACAGGAGTGCGAGTGTGCCGTTTCATTGTGAGGACCATGATGTGTTTATTGGCAATGTCTTTGCAAAGTCCTTGAAGACTGCTTAACAAGACCCGTAATGCTAGCGTAGCGTAATAGTCAGAATCCGAGGAAGGACTGTTTGTGTGTTCTGTTTTGCATGCATGTGTTTGAAGGTTCATTTAATTTCTTATTGTCTTTTCCAGCCATTACACAGGACAATCAGGTTTCTCATTTGATCTCTTTGGCTTCTTTGATATGTGATATGACACAGAGATGACATATTTTCCCAGGCTTGCAGGAACAAAGTGAGTTGGAACAGAAGATGATTTTTTCCTTATGAGGTGGATTGCTAACTTCCACCCTAACACATACTGACAGTATGTGTTGAGTTTTGTATTAAATTGTCTTATTTGGGATTTGCTCATGAGGATGGTAAGATTTAATGATGCGTTGCATAAATATGTTAAGCGAGGCAAGATTAACTTTTTGTTTTTAAATGAAGAGGATTTAGAAATTGCAGGAACAGTATGTTACTAACACATACTGGCATTATGTGTTAGGGTGATAAGTCATTTAAAAATATATATATATATATTCATGCGTGATTTTAATTGTTTCTTATTCAATGGAAACACCACTATGTGAAATTATGCTTTCCAACATGAGCAGAATTTCAGCAAAGGTTTGCGCATATTTGCAAATGGAAACACAGATACCGATGCACTTCACAGGAAATGTTAGAACAGAACTTCAATCAGTGAACATAAGGAGAAGTTGTGAACCGTGACATTAATCTGTTGCACTTTAGAAGAGAAGAAAGCTGTTCTCTCCGTGTTGGCCAAGCTTCCAAAAATTGCATTAACATTAACGGCCATCTTGTTCAGCTCAACGCCCCTCTTTCCGCAGTGGAACATTGCTGTTTACAGCGCAGGCAGCGTCTGGTAAGCTTTAGGGTCAAACTGGCGTCACAGATAAACATTAGCAATTGAGTAACATTTAAGACTTCAACAGAGTCCACGCCTCCAGGAAACAATCGTTTCTCAATAGCCGAGAGACCAGAGTCTCTGTATGAAGCAAACGCAGTGAAACAAGGAAATATTCTCTTGACCTCAATATTTCAGGTCCAGACCCAATTTTCTAAAGTTTTCCTCGAACTGTGTGATAAGTCTCCTTGTGCTCCTATGTATATGCCCAGACTGCATTCTCTGTCTGGGTTACTGTCTCTAATAAAAAAAAGCTTACAGAGCATCTGCTTCACTTTCAAACGCTCCCAGCTCCATAAGATTGTCAAAGTTCTCAAAAGTCTAGAGAATGGAAGTATTAAGAGTAGTCTTAAGAGGATAACAAACTAGGGGCATTTGGTTGGTTTCACCGCATTCCCATAGCAACACAAGTGTCATGTATGATGAGCAGCAACACCCAGGCGCTACTGATTACCTGTCAAAAAAGACAGAGCCACTGTATGTATTTTTTTTAGCTGCTGAATTCATGCTATCATTTTCCCTTGAAAGCATGGTCATGTTAAAATATGAGCTGTGAGAGGCTGATCACATCAAATTTACTTTATCTCATCTTAATCACATCTAACTGTGAAGATGATATTAGTATCTATATGAATCAAATAAATAAGACACTCCTCTTATACTACATGCCATAATAAATACAAGTAATGTGTTAATAGAAAACGTCACCGTATCCATGCTTTCATAAAAACAGATGGTTCTTCCTTAGGAATTGCAGTCAGAAATATGATTTTATTGTATTATTTTTGTCAAACTGTGAGTAATCTTCCCCTTATGAGTCACCCACTGCAGCGTTCATCAAAATTAGCTAGATAGACACACAGGCAGAACCTGAAAGCGATGCAAGACATAAGAGGCGCAGCACACACACATTTACTGTTGCATTTACCGTCAATTTGCCCCGTAGCTCTCACTGAGTAAGGCGAGTCAATGGGCAGAAGGAGGACGTTAGCGGAGCAGAGGACGAAGGGCTGCTTCGCAGTTTCTCTGCCAGGCAGCTGACTGGCACTCGTGACTCGTTCTTTTTTTCTTTTTCTAATGGACTGAGCTGAAATGCGCCAGAATTTGATTATTTCCTCCCAGTCTCCCCCTCATTCACTGGCTCAATTTTCTCTTTTCATCAGCAACTTGCTATTTGTTCCTCATGAGCCATTATTCCATCTCTTTTCACTTATATCGGTCCATCTTAATTCCTCTCTCTCCTTTTTTTTATCCTCTTCAACTTTATATGCCCTTTCTTTTCTCCATGCTTCCTGTTCCATCTTCCCATATTCTACTAGCTTATCCTCCACTTTCTGATAAAAAAGTAATAAGGCTTGTAATGGCTTCAATTTCCTTCCCACCCCTTTCCTGGCAAATGTGGTGCATTTCATCCCTGAAGATAGCCTTTGTTGTTTCTAAAACAAAGAGTAAATGTGCATGTGCATTTGCCAGGTGTGTGTGTGTGTGAGTAAAAAGAGTTTCCCTCTCGTGTGCGTCTCTGTGAGATTGTATATTTATTGCTCGCCTCTCCCTTGTGACTCAATCCACCACTTATTCCAGAGGTTTAATTGAATAGTGGAAGTGGTTGCTCCTTCCCTTAGTGGTATATAGCACCCATAGCCTCCCCTGGGCCAATCTAGGGCCTTGCCCAAGTTATAAAATTTTCACAAAATACCCATGTATGCATTCACCACTAAAAATGGTCTGAATAAAAGTCCTCCTAGTGCCTTTTTTGTGTTTGAGAGAATAAAAAAAAGAGAGTGAGACACGAATGAGGAAGAAAAATCACTAAAGAGGTCAGTGTCCTCGTCTCCTCCTCTCCGTTGAGAACCATAGATTCATTTTTAATCTCTCCCTCATCTCCTACTGTTGTGTAAAGCCACTCAGTATGAGCCCACTTTGGTCCACTTTGGTTCTGTCCCACAGGATGCATAGGACCTCATGCTACATCTGGAACAGGTTCCAGCCACGAAATCCCTCTAAAGTTATGAAAACGAACCTCAAACCTCAAAGTATTTTCTTTGAGAAACACGGATCTGGTTAGAGGTTAACAGACCCTCATCATGAGGATTATGAGAATGAAGAAGGATGCAGGAACACAAATTCCCCTCCGTCGTCCCCTCAGGAATGTCGACGTGTTCCGTGCATGTGATTGTGTTTGCATGTCATTCGGGGCTTATTACTGTGATTAATCATGCACATTGTCATAAGTCATTGCTGGCAGATTATGCGTGAATAATACAATTCCTTTCTTGGAATGATGAACGACCAGCGAGAATCCATGGGCTCGAGTGAAAGGGATGAGAAATTGGACCAGACAGATTCAAGACACCGGGAGTGTTGCTGATAAAGCTGCTTTTACATTTACATTGAAATACTGTGTAAGCACAAAAGAGATCTGTGATGGGGAGAAAATAAAGAAAAAAAAAATCTATCTATTTGCAAGAATGTCATGATTGCAAGGAGAAATTTTTACATAATTTCGTGTCTCATTAAATGACATTCATCTATGACACTTTTGAGGAATGCAACATGACTTCACAATGAAGGGGAACTTTGAAGAAGAAAGCCGTAAGATACATCAGTAGGAAATTGATTGACTGGTTAATTTATGCAAATATTTGGATTCTGCTTTCACTTATACCCTCAGTTATGTCCAACAGATTTCCAAACTTTTATTCTGACAACTATTGCCCTGTGGGTTCTTTCAACCCTGAAATCAGAAGCCTTGATACCATTAATTAAACACTTTTGCACAATATTTCACTGTTGAGTTCCATTCTCATTATCTGCTACACAAAGCACTGTAAACTAGAATCACAGAAGCCCTTTTAGCCCTGCTTTTTAAACACCACTTGACGATAATAAAAGACCCAGCAGTGTTTGAACTGCATTTACAAATTCGTCTAAAGATGGTATTCAGCTATTTCCGGTGAACTGAGACACGACTCTGTGCTGGATTTAAAGAAAAATAAAAAAATAAAAAATAAAAACTGTAGAAAGACAGTCAGCCTGAGTTACTCGTGTATTAACAAGACTTTCTTTTCACGTAAAAACAAACAAAACGTCTGGTTAATACAAATAACACACCACCAAGATGTTTTTATTGTTATGCTAAGCAAAACTAGCAATTAGGCTACGTAAAAAAAATGCAATACGTATAACAGTTTTGAACTGCTCACGTAGACACATGATCCAGCTGCCAATCCTCAACAAAACTACGCTCTCCTCTGGAACAAAACGGCACTTTGGAGAGTGGGTGCTTTTAGCCATTAAAACAAAAAATTATAACTGAGGTTGTGCGCCGGTACCGACTGTTAAGTCTGACAAAACGCTGAACAGTTTTACCAAGTGAACTAACTAAACATTCAACATGAGAAACATGAAGTATATCATTTGAAAATCCTGTTATGTAAAATGTGGATTAAAAGCAGCGTACCGAGTCTGCCAAATCAAAACAAAGTAATTGATTGGGATGCTTTAGGGGGAAAAAAGCCAATAAATAACAAACTGAATCTGGCTGTGCTGTACAACACACAATCAGACATAATCAGTGTGATGCTGTATTATATAGATATACAGTAAACAGTCTTGACCCTTGCGCTTTTTATTTTTGCTCAATCAATTGTTTTGTTTTTGTTTGTTTTGTTTTTTTTCCTGCCTGAGCAGACTTTCTGGCGAGGCACCCCTCGAAAATGCTCTGCCTTGATTTACCCCTTTATCTCCCTCCCTCTCTATTCTGTCAACTATACTCTCGAAATGAGCTGAGAATGAGGGGGTGGAGAGGAAAAGAGGCTGCAAGTTAGAAAGAGAGAGATGGAAAGAGAGGAGATATTAATAGTGACAGGCCAGAGATATTGAGAGCTCACCGATGATCCCACAGCGTCTCGCCAAAGGTGTGGGGGTGAGGTAATGGCTTGATGCTGACATCTAGAGATGGAAGTGGAGAGGTAGATGAAGGGCTAATGCCTATAGATTGTGACCTCTGGGGAGCGAGATTTTCTTGAGGCCTCTAAAAGCTTGAATTTTTGGCGGAGATGCAAGTACCGTCTTGGTCAAGGCTAAACTAGCAGGGTTTGTCTGGATAAGTGGACCTGACAGCCCCCTACGATGGAGTCTCCCTGCAGACTCACTACTCTATTGGCATGCTGTTTAGTTTTGTCCATAGACTGTCTGCTGGGATTTGTCTTTCTCCATTTGTTTTCTACCAGTGTTCCCACATTTAAAAATGTCACCATCATGGCACAGGAAACCGGTTTTCTTTGAATAAATAATCCTGTTTATTGTTAGAGAACAAGTATTTAGACTTAATCCATTCCAAAAAAGGAAGGATTATTAGCCACTAATAATACTGCCACATTCTACTATTAGCATAAGGCGAACATTACAGCATGTCATACCCTAAAATACCATGTCTTAGGCTTCGTCAGCTGAAAAAGTGTGTGTAGTTGAGGAGGAATGTACACATTAGATAAATACAAATGTTCTGCTGGCGACTGATTGAACTGCATTTATTAGAACATCCACATGATCCTTGCAGGCACTGCACAAGTAAAAAATGATAGACGAATAAATATGGTGAAGAATAAAAACAACAGAAACTTCTCTTTACTTTCCTTGGTAAATTGTTCCCGTATCTTTTACCTTCCTTAAAGCAGAGTGTACCGCTGACAGATACACAGAGTCAGACGTGAACAAAAACAGAGGGAATATAAAGCCTAAACAGGTTCAATGAGAGTCAAGTGACAAGTTGGCCTCAGGGAATGGACCACAGCGACTGTCCAGAGGTGGCAAAAATGAAAGATGCACCTCCAGTAAGGGCCAAAAATTTGTACAGACAGAGTTAAGGAATGTCTTGACTTTAAATTTGAAATCATTTCTGGAGTGAGGCCCCCCCCCCTTTTTTTTTTTTTTTTTTTGCTCTGTGCTATTGCGCATTTCTCTTCTATCTTTAAGGGTTATAAACAAGAAAAGCATAGGAAACCAAACTTCTATATTAAGTACAAAAAGTTAAGAAGGGAATCACTGAGGATGTGTGGTGTGTGGGTAAGGATATAATCCTTATTGATTTATTCCGAGGAACAGGCGATTAAATAAAGAAAAAAAAAAGAAAGAAAGCTGAAGGTTCAATACTGCATATATCTCGTTAAGAATTCCGTAAAAGATGCTGAAGCAGTCCAAACCGGCATATTTGTCAAGCTAGTTATTTCCTTTGTGACATAAACAGAATTTTGACTTTCAACAGTCAATCTTCAGTTGTCTTCACGTCCCTTTTCTCATACAAAATGCATTAAGATAAGCACCTTGTTCTTCGAAATCTGCAGTGGAACCACTACTGACTCGTGCACCTTCTGCAAAATTCATTACTGCTTGACTTGCAGTGGGGGGGGGGGGAGGCTGCTAAAGTAGGTCGCACAATGGGGTGTAGAAAGTCTGCAATTGGTCTTAAATACGCAGAATTATATCAAACTCATTCAAAGGTTCTTGGAAACCACCTGAAAGTTGCTCATGCTTAAGAAAATTCAAAATTCATTTCCAAGAGCAAAGAGATGAAATTCCACTGTGACAATCAGACCAAATAGCCCAGTGAGGCAACAAGCTTAAAATAAGCTGTCATTTTTTTTTTTTTTTATCCAAACAACTACATTATAACTCAGCTCCAATATCTGGACATACTGAAAAAAAGAAAGGTTTTCACTTGCATTACTCTGAAAGAGACTGTGAATATGTATTCAGATGTACGATTGTGCCATGTATGTGGTTTGTATAGGATCCAAGCGCAGTGACTGACTCTAGTTCAAAAAGCAGGAGTTTTAATAATAAACAAGGAGAACTTGCTAGAAGAATCAGACCTGGAGCAGGGGCAGCATAATGGAAGGAACTAGTAAAAAAAAACAATGAAAAACAGTGAACTTATATAGTGGGGAGGGGTGGGAAATGGCATTTGATTCAGGCATGCTTAACCGAGCGAAATTGCAACAGGTGTTGGAGGAAAATTAACAGAGACTGATGGAAAAATAAACACAAAGGAACCTGAACTAGCTTCAGGTTCCTGTAACAAACTGTAACAAAATGTTACAGTTTGTTATTTTCACAAACTGTAACATTGCCAATTCTTCTTTGCAAAAGAGTCAAAGCTTAGTTAGAATGAATGGGGGGAAAAAATGAGTTTTAAAGTTTAACCACAGATTCTTAATGGGATTTAGCTCTGGACTTTGACTGGGCCATTCTGACACTTGAATAATATGGCATGACAAACATACTTTCTACACATGTGCTTCCAATACAGAGTTTTATTTCACAACAAGACAGACAGACTTTCAAAGGTTTTAGAAACAGCTAAAATAGATGTTGGAAAAATACATTAAAAGTTGACAATTCAACCTTCTTGTTGTTGACACAAAGTCTTACAATATTACCAGCCTCTCTCTGCCAGAGAGGGAGCGGCAATGCATGCAGTCACTTGGATCTCAAGGCATGGCTGCTGAAAGTGCAAATGGATCGGTGAATGAATGCATGTATCGGCAGATGCAATAAAATAAAATAAAATAAAAATCAACCCAAAATATTGGCCAGCCAATGTATCGGTCCACCTCAAGTATCTATTTATTTGCATTTAATATATATATATTTTTAATTGCTTCAGGTGCTTTTTAAATTTTTTAAATAGACTTTTAACCTTTCATGTATTTTTCTCAACAATTTATGTGCTTTGCAAATTAATGGTAACATCTGAAAATAAGAGCTTTTTATTTCTGTGCTAAACTGTCTTATTTGAATATCTGTTCATTTTAGCTTTCACAGAGCAGCTGGATTATTACTGGGATTAAAGTAAAAACTAATCACTCTTTAGGGGATTTCTACTGGTAATTTATTACACTAGATTTGCAATATCTAGTGCAGTGGGGTTATTAAAGTAAGGAATGCAAATGAACGTCAATGTTTTCTTGTTTGTATTTGTAGGATATTTTTACTGCCATGCCATTCCTCGACTTTCGTAAGTAAGAGAAAAAGAACTGTGAATAACCAAAAAACTGAATTAATGAAAAAAGATTAATGTTTAAATGAATTAAGTTACCTTTCTGTTAAATTAGAGGACTGTTATAATGAAAATGACAAAACTTATTAGTCATCATCATCATGCTGTCTATGCAGTTTTTTTTGTATAAACTTGCCATCACACCGATATTCCTCATTATTATTTTTATTTTTTTTTTTTTCACAACTACAACAGAAGAGAACCATGTGAAGACACCTCCTCTGGCCACATCCCCCCCTCCTCCTCCGACTGACCCCCCTACCTTTAAGCTGATCAATACGGCTGCCACATGGAGAGCCATGGAAGTTCAGATCAATCTAACCACTGCTGGGAACAACTGTGGCAGGAGAGCCAGAGGCACAGCATGACGCAGACGTAAGAAATGGGGAGCGCATAGAGGGCTTCGAGTGGGTATTACAGAGGATTTCAAGTGATATTTGAAAAAATATAGTTCCAACTAATACTACATGATACCACATGTGGATAGCAGCAGAGTGAGCATATAAATAGCCCTAAAGTGACTCCTGCTCAGGTGCTGGCTGTGATCATGATGTCACAGTGGAGATGTTCATGGAGTAAAAATAAAAATGGTACAAAATGAAACTTAAAAACAATCTTCGACAGTCCTCTCATTCCATGCTCTGCCTCTGAGGTGATATTGAATTGTTTACACCATCTGAGAATTTGCTGTAAAATTGTACAAGACAGCTTGTACAGTTTTACAGATAAGATGCCTGAAAAAACTTTTTGTTTTGTTACATTGTTTAAAAATGCAAAAAATATTTCAGGGCACAAAAACACAAAATAGAGTTGAAACTGAACAAACTGAACAAAAAAAAAAAAAAAAAAAAAAAAAAATTAAAAAAAAAAAAAAAAAAAAAAAAAAATTTATTTTTGCAC